TTAATGAATCAAAGAGTTGGATCCTTGAAAAAATGAAGAAAATTGATAAACCCTTAGCCAACCTTACCAAAAAAGGAAAGAAAAACTCAACTTCATGCATTAAGGAATGAAAAGGGTGAAATATCACAGATCCTGTGGAAATTCAGAAGATCAATACCTGCTTTGAAAATCTTTACTCTTCTAGGATGGAAAACACAGAAGAAATGGACAGATTCCTGGATATGTATGAATTACCAAAGCAGAATCAAGAAGATATAAAAATTCTCAATAACTCAATATCAGTTAATGAGATTGAAAATTAATTAAAAACTTACCAACAAAGAAAAGCCTTGGTCCTGATGGATTCACTGCTGAATTCTACACTAAATTTAGAGAAGATTTAATGCAAATACTCTTAAAAGTCTTTAATGCTATTAAAAGGGAAATAATACTCCCTAACTCATTCCTGGAGGCAAGTATTACTCTGATAGCAAAGCCAGAGAAAGACCCAACCTAAAAAGAGAACTACAGGCCAATCTCACTAGAGAACAGAGATGTAAAAATCCTCAATAAGATACCAGCAAAAAGAATTCAACAAATCATCAGGATTATACACCATGACCTTGTGGGATTTATCCCAGGAATGCAAGGATGATACAACATATGCAAATCAATAAACCTAATATACCATATCAGCAGAGCCAGTGACAAAAATCACATGATCATCTCAATAGATGTAGAAAAGGCTTTTGATAAAGTCTAGCAGTCATCCATGATAAGAATCCCTACAGAAAGTTGAAATAGATGGTTTTTATCTCAATCTGATAAAAGCCATCTATGACAAAGCAATGGCCAACATCATACTAAATGGACAAAAACTGAAATCTTTCACTCTAAAATCAGGAAAAAGACAAGGATGTCCACTATCAACACTCCTCTTATACATAGTTCTGGAAACATTAGCCCAAGCAAATAGGCAAGAGAGAGAAATAAAAGGAATAAGGATAGGAAAGGAAGAAGTGAAATTATTATTCACAGAGGACAAGATACTCTACATGAAAGACCACAAAAACTCCAACAAAAGACTCCCAGAGTTAATAACAAAATTCTGTTACATGGCTGGATACAAAGTCAATACTCAAAAATCAATAGTATTTTTGTACACAAACAACAAACTTTTTGAGAGAGAAATTAGAGAAACCACATCTTTCCCAATAGCATCCAAAATACTAAAGATGTAGGAATCAATCTAACAAAGGAAGTTGTTATGGTTGATACATTGTGTCAACTTGGAGAGTCTAGAGGTTTGGCTAAGTGACTTAGCAACCTGGGGTGCAAAGGACATGCCCTTCCTGCTCTAGGATGTTGTTCATTGTATCAGTGTGAGAAGTTCAGAAGGTTAACTATGTGAGTGCTGCCCCCTGGGTAGGGGTAGCCTGTTTACGACATAAGGGAGGGAAAGAGGCTGCTTGCTGCCATTCCCCGCTTTGCTCTTGTTGCTCTGCCTTGGGGCCAGCCAAGTATGGACTGAAACCTCCACAACCTGTAAACTAAATATGCTTTTCCTTCTTTAATTTTGGGCATCAGGTATTTTTATCTCAGCAACAAGGGAAAAATAACCAAGACAGAAGTGAAAGTTTTATATACTGACAGTTACAGTACTCTGAGAAAGGAGATCAAGGAGGGTAACAGAAAATGGAAAAATATCTCTTGCTCATGGATAGGAAGAATGAACATTGTGAAAATGTCCATACTTCCAAAATTGTTATACAGATTTAATGCAATCCCAATCAAAATACCATTAGTGTACCTCACAGAACTAGGGAAAACATTCCTAAAATTCATCTGAAACCAGAAGAGGCCTATGACAGCAAAAGAAATCCTGGGCAACAAAGGAAAGGCAGGAGGCATCACAATCCCTGACTTGAAATTATACTACAAAGCTACTGTGATAAAATCAGCATGGTACTGGCAAAAAAACAGACCTGAGGACCAGTGGAACAGATTAGAAGATGCAGACACAACTATATACACACTCAGCCACCTTATCTTTGACAAAGGGCCTAAACATGTTTACTGGAAGAAAGATAGTCTCTTTCATAAATGGTGCTGGAAAAACTGGCTCTCTACATGCCGAAGAATAAAACTAGACCCATGTCTATCACCATGCACTAAAGTCAAAATGGATCAAAGATCTAAATATTAAAACAGAAATGCTAAATCTACTGGAAGAGAATGTAGGTAGAAATCTTGAAGACATAGGGATAGGTAGAGACTTCATGAACCAAACCCAAACTGCATGGGAAATATTTCAAAGAATCAACAACTGGAATCTCATCTTATTAAAAAAGCTTTTTTGTACATCAAAAGAAATCACCAATAGAGTGAAAGACAACCCACAGAGTGGGAAAAAATTTTAGCTAACTGTCCCCCAGACAAAGTTCTTATATCTAGAACATATAAAGAATTGAAAAAAAAAAATTAGATCCCCCAAATTCAAAGACCCAATCCAAAAATGGGCACCTGAGATGAATACGCACTTCTCAGGTGAAGAAATACAAATGGTAAATACATGAAAAAATGTTAAACATCATTGGTCATTCAAGAGATGCAAATTAAAACAGCACTGCAATTTCATCTCACCTCAGTAAGAATGGCTATTATCAAGGAATCAACGAACAATAAATGGTGGAGTGGTTGTCAGAAAAAAGGAATCCTTCTCCATTGTTGATGGCAATGTAGACTGGTGCAACCACGTTGGAAATCAGTGTGGAGATTCCTCAGAAAACTAGGATTAGAGGTCCCATCTAACCCAGCTATTTCCCTTCTGGGTATTTTGCCAGAGAAATTAAAAACATCATACCACTGTGATATACGTGTACCCCTGTTTAAAGCAGTGCAATTTGTCATAGCTAAATCTTGGAAACAACCCAAATGCCCATCCATTGAGGAATAGATAAAAAAGATGAGGTCTTTTTATACAGTGGACTACTGCTCAACTATGAAGAAGGATGAACTTGAGACTTTTATAGGGAAATGGATGCAACTTGAGTCCATACTTATAAGTGAAATAAATCATTTTCACATGTGTAAACATATTGTCTCTCTAGTGTAAGAAGCTGAAAGACTAAATAAAATCTATGAACTATGTTATTATTTACTTCCTGCCTCCCTTTTAAATAGTTATTCTTTTAAAACTATATTTCTGGAATTCCTTCATGTAATGCGGTTAGCCCTTCATCTGTGCCATGAGTTGCAAATTTTAAAAAAACTGTTTATTTATTAGTTATTGGGATTCTGCTTATGGATTAGTGGCTGGTTTCCCCCTCCAATGTAGAAGTTTTATTTTTTAATGTAACCAAACAGTGACTTCTGTGTGGTTCTGCATTTTAAGCATAGAAGATGCTCTCCAGTTTAAGATATAAAAATTTTCTCTTGTTTTCTGATGCTGTACTTCACTGTTTATTTATACCATCCAAATGTGCAAAGAGGCCAGGATAATGAGACTGGTTTTCACCTATTTTCTTTGTAAATCTTTATAAGTAGTATAGTTCACTTTGAACTGTAAAACTGCCTGCCACTTACTATCTTGGGGTCCTGGCCTGAATGTAGAAAGAATATTATTTTCACATCCACAGTACACTTAAACAAAACCTAATCTAATCAACCTGTTTCCTATACCCCCATCCTCTAGCTGCTAGGCATGCCACGTAAATAAAATAAAACTCTTATTTTGTTCTACAGAAGGAGTAAAAATTGAACAAATAAATATGGAAGGTCAGGTAGTGAGAATTGCTATCAAAACATAAAACAGGGAATAGGAGAGCAGAGGTTACCATTTTCTAGAGGCTAATGAGGAAATGATGCTTAGCCTAAGAGGGTGACATCTGAGCAGGGACATGAATGAGCAAGGACAACTGGCAGGACAGGGCAAAGGAGAGGTGGCCATTGTTCAGATTGGGAAAGGCTTTGGCAGCTATACCAGTTTTGAGTTTTCTTTTTTAAAATGTGAAAGAGCAATGATGTGGCATCTGTGGCTTAGAAAGGATTCTCTGACTTTTCATGGAGAAATAATTGAAAAGGAGTGTCTTGGTTACTGTTCTCTCATTGCTGGGACAAAATACCTGACACCCAAAATTAAGGAAGGAAAGGTTTATTTCGCTTACAGTTTGTGGAGCTTTCAGTCCATACTTGGCAGGTTACAAGGCAGAGTGGCACATGGCAGAGGGCTACAGCTCATGGCGGCAGAACACAGCAAAAGCAACAAGCACTAAAACGGATGAATGGCCGCAAGCAACCACTTCCTCTCCCTTACATATGCAAACTATCCACCGCAGGGCGGGTGCAGCTCTCACACCCATAATCAATCAAACTCTAAAAGCCTGCCCCATGACTGCATGAGGCTTTGGGGGGCTCACACGGGCGCAAACCATAACAAGGAGCAAGAGTAGAAATGAAGATTTAAAAAAGAAGAAGCAGCAAAGGAAGGCTATTCCTTGATCCAGACAAGAGACTATAAAGGATTAGATTATGGTAATGGCAGTGGAAATGGAGAAAAATGAGCCCAGGTGAGAGGTTAACAGGTAGAATGGATGAGGTTTCTCTTTCAGGATGGTGAATAGGGGACTATAAAAATATCTCCCAGATTTATTAAGACCTGCAACGCTGATGTAGGAGCAGATTTGGTAAATCACAAACATCACAATTTTACTTTCATTTCAGGATTTGTGCACAATCAGAGTGAGCACTATTTTTGGAATGCTGTGAGAGCATCAGATATGGAGGGTTGGTTTGGGAACATGGAGGTACTATCTGTCCCTGGAATTTTATGATGATATGATTTAGATGAATAGTTCAACAGCAAATCACAGGAGAACAACAGGTCCCAGACACAGGAAGCTGCACATGACAAGAGTTCCAGGATGATTCTTCTGTTTCTGCTGGGCACAGTCTCTCTGTTCAGCTGGAACTGGGGTAAGTTCTGGGGATATCAAGGCAGCTAGTAGTTTGTTAAGAGATGGGCAGATGCTGGAGATGAAGTTTCAAAAATTGGCTTTTAGAGCTGTGCAGAAGTCTGTGAATTGTGACAAAGATTTTTTTCTTCTCTTTGCAGGTGCACAAGGCTCTCTCAAAGGTATGAGTGTGTTAGCTTAAAGTCCTTATTAAACACGTCATTTGTAACATGCTTAGGAATAATCCTCCCCTCCATCTTCAGACAGGTCTCTAAGCCGTTTTTATTAGAGACTCCTTGAAGTTTATCTTCTCCCAGACATATTTAGTCTATTTCTTTGAGTAAAGAGGCTATAATCTCTTCCTTAGCTTCCTTTTTCCCATTAATGGACAAAATCATCAGGTTAGATGAGGGGTTTATTACCTGAGATCCATGGATAAATGTAAAAGTAACACGGACCTCCTGAAATGATATACAACATTTATTGTATGTCTCTACAGATTTTCTCTCATAAGATTATCAAAGCAGTCCTAGTGCAGAAAGGTTAGGAGCCACTAGGCAACAATAACCTGCAGAAAAGCCCCTAGTTCAAGAGAACCTTCTGTAGACTGCATGCGCTGAGCACCTCTTTCTGTATATGGCAGATTCTGCAAGAATGTGCTATAAATGTAAACATTATCATCTTGGGTACTGCTACGGAGTCATGGATTTCTGCATCCTGAATTATAAACAATCTTGTGCTACAGAGAACATTTATATACTCACAAACAAAGGTAACATGACATGTAGAATAATGGGGAAATAACTACCTCCTCCCCTTAGAAGCAACTGTATTTCTTGTTCATTTGTTTTTTAACCCCAGAATGAGTGGTAGATGGGGTGGGTGAAGATGGGTGGTCATATAGAAGGGATGAAAAAGATGCATTTTTCCTGAAGATGATATTTGGCCGAGGAGAGGCTGATGTTCTTGGTAAATTAGGGAAGAAAATCCACTCCCTGGGTCGGCAAATAGCAGATTCAGGTTTACATCTTATTTAGGCCTAGAAAAAAAGTAGAGAGGATCTGAAGATAAGCTATTTTCAGGAATATGGTAAGAGGAAATAGGAGCCATTACATTTGTATTTCTTCTCTTTAACCTCCTCAGGGCAAAGTCTGTATTATTATTCAAAACTGTCATGTATGACCAACTGTGAGGACATCAACTTCCTGGATTATAACAAAAAGACAGAACTCATCTGTTGTACACATAGTAACTACTGCAACCTCCCTGTGGGACTCTAGTTCTACATCTCGCTGGCCCGGGGATCCTTCTTTAACTAAATACCCCCTCTACCTCCTCCCTGAAGCCTGTATTTTGTTTTACTCTCCTCTGCTAACCAATGGTAGGAAATAAAAAAAGCCAGCTGGAAATGAAAAGACAAGCAGTGATAGGAGAAACAAGGGTAAGCCAGCTGAGTCTAGTTCAAACACTAGGCCATGTGTTTGAACAAGTCATCTTGCTCACATCTGGCAGGGAGTTATGGATTCCTTATATTTCTGTTGCTATGAATAGGCTCAGACTTGGTTACTTATTATCTCCTCTATGAAAGTGCAAACTGTTGAGCCAAAATAACCCTAAATTTATATTCAGAATTCTGTGACCTTACTCTATCCTTGTTTACACTCCCATCTTTGGCGGGTTGGGATTCTCTTTGGGTTAACCTTAAGACTTACCAGCATAGTCCTTCTGTCAATGGATTCTGGAAGCAGAGGAGAACTAATCCCAGCTTCCCAGTGAGACAAAACACTTGGTCCTGTTAGTTGAAAATGTAGAGAGAATAAGCCAAATAGGAGCTGCTTTATTCTGTGGACCTCAGGCAACAAATAGCTGGCCCTGTACATCAAGGTAGGATTAAGTCTGTAGTGCAATTAATGCTCCAGAGTTTTCCACAGCATTCCATTTAAGATAGTCTCTAGCTGAACCCACAATTTTTGGTTACTATTTCCCCTCTAACTCCTCCCTTACTCCGGGAGGTCAAACCCAGGGCCTCATAAATGCCTGGCCACTGAGCTACATCCCCAACACTTATTTTTTTCTTTAAATTTTATGAATGGAGCCCTAAAATTAGATGAGTTCAGGTTGATACACAAAGTTTTATTTAGACACTTCTGAGTGAAAGCGCATTCTGTATCTACATTAATTTATCATGAATGAGAAGAATCTGTTTTAGAGACTTCCTTGCAGTCTAGATAAAATTGTTCTACTCCAGGAGAATGTTCTCTTTTGCTTTAGCCCATCTTGGGATATTCCCCCAGTTCCACTTTCACTGTGAGCAAATGAATAGAGGAAGACCTAGGTGAACCTTTTTTCTCTACATGATGACACAAAAAAATCTGTCCTCTAATGTGCAAATGTTATTCTTCCATGTATTTACATAGTCACACAAGTTTTCTTTACGTAACCTTTTAGGAACAGTAATTTGGCCAAAAATCTGTTCATTCAGAATTAGCTGAAAAATAATTCACACAACTTGTCACATTAAATCAAAATAAATTTCAAGTGTATTAAAGATTTAAATGTAATAAAGAAAAACTTGCTTTTAAGTTTTGTTGTGGTTATCATTGTTTCAACCTTTAGTGTCTGCTAGGCACATACTAAATATTTTTTGATATCATGTAATATTGACTTCACAGCTTCCTATAATGCAGATATCATTGTAAGACAATTTAATAAATGAAAAACCTGAAGAAAAAACCTGTTGGATTGACAAGCATTACACAATTAAGTTTTCCTGCTAGGTGTGGTGGCACACACCTGTAATCCCACACTCAGGACTCTGAGGGAGGATTGCCCTGAGTTCGAGGCCAGGCTGGACTGTGTAGTGAGTGCAAGGCCAGCCTGAACTAAAAAGCAAGATCCTGTCTCAAAAGATCTTCTACTTACTCTTGCTGCATAACAAATCGCTGTATTCACTACAAGTCTGGGTCAGAATTCAGAAAGCACACAGTAGGGATGGCTTGTCTCTGCTCCTGAACGTTAGAGGTAATGTAAAACTGGAGACCAACAATCATTTGAAGATGTGTCCACTCACATGTCTTTGCAGTTCGTGCTGATGATTAGTTATATCATCGGCTGCTATTGGTCAGAATACATGCACATGGATTCTCCATGTGGTCTGGACCCCTTCACTTCATGGGGTTTTTGGATTGCTTAGGCTTCCTAGGGCAGGTGTATTAGCTGACAAGGTAGAAGTCATATCACACTTTATGTCCTAGCCTTGGATAGCATGCATCATCACTTCTGCCTCATCACATGGATTACAAGTGAATCACAAGGCTGACTTTCTGATTGGGGAGTGGCAGAAGTGTAGAGCTTGTGTTTTGGGAGATAGTATTGCGGCCATCTTTAGAAAATACAATCTGTTACAACTAGCTAATAGTAAAGGTGAAATTTGATCCAATATGTGTGTAATTTCAAAGTGCTCTATCATCCTAATTTCACTATTAACAATATTTATTTTTTTCATTTTCATTTTTATTTTTATTAGTGCATGTTTACAATACATAATGATTGCATTCATTTTGGAGCACTGTACATGTACATAATACATCTTAATTCTTTTTATACCCCTCTATCACTTGGTTTGCTTCTCATTTGCAAAACATCTATCTCTCTGTTTCCTGCTATCTATCTTTTATTTTGCTTTTTAATTTATCTGTAATTTGGGTTTCTCATAGTAGAGGAATCATGCAATATTGAAGCTTGCGTGTTTGGTTTACTTCACCTGACATTATGATCTCAAGCATCTCTCGTTCTCGAGGGCCTGCACCTGACTCTAGAAAGCAATTTCTGCCTAATAAACCCATGCCTCTTACTGACACATACTGAAAACTGCTTTTCTGTGAGCAAAGTCAGTGAACCTCCAAACATCCTACGTTTAGGGTGGGTTAAACTCATCTCCTTGGGAACCTCCTCAGGCCCAGCCCAGTGACATTTTCTCCTGATAAGCCAGTGGCAGGAGGTAAAGGCAAAGGCTCCTGAGTTCTATTCCAGGTACAAAAAAAACAAAGGGCATAAGCTCTCCAACTGCCTGATGCTATGGCTCCCTTTTGTGGGTGGCTGGGAACAAATCCAAAGCTGTACAGACTCAAGAGGTCATTCAAGTGATAACTGACATTATCCTCAGGATCCAGGGAACTCTACGGACTCCAACCAAAAAGGAGCCCACTGGTGTCTTTTATCCCCTCCTTTCTTCACTAAGAAAACCCCAATCCCTTTCTCGTGCCTTCTTTCCCACTCTGAGGCTTTCAGCCAATCGAAAACTCAAAGGTGTAACTTCTCTGTTATTAGTGATCAGGGACGGGCAGGGTGCTGGAGGTGGAGGGGTGCACGGGTCAGGAGCTCAAGGCTCCAACAATAACTGTCTACCTGGCCTCCCTGGGCCCTAAGCCACCTTGCCAGCTTTGCCTGTGGGTATTGTTTCCTCCTGGAGCGTCAGTGATTCCTTCTGTAGAGCTCACTTGCTTCCTCCCTCCAACTTCTTTGGCTCTGGTACTCTTATGATCATTTGGCCTGAATCTGTCTCCCAACTCAGGCCAGTCACGGTGCTAAGTGACGTCTTGAGACTTTCTAAACCCTCTATGGGTGCCTTGTGTGTAGTACAGGTCCCTAGATACAAAGATCTTTAGGGTGTATTTTTGCATAAAGCCCAGTTGTTGTGTACAACTCCTTTTCCTTGCTTTCCTGGTTTGTTCATAAAGGTTGGAGTAGCTATGTGCCAGGAATAAGGACACTTGCCTGGACATGACAAATGGGTTTGTGGGACTGGCAGGGACACCTGCAGTACATAGTCATGGCAGAAAGCGCGGTGGGTGCAGCCTGATCTCAGCATGATCTTGACTTCAGAGACCTAAGTAGGATCCCATCTTTCTCACTTTTTTTTTTTTTCCTTTTCCTTCTCTCTTTATCTCTTTTGAAAAGCACACAGGAGAGATTTTAGAAGCACTTAGTACACTTTAAATGATGATGGATAACTCAACGTCTGTCCCCAAAATGTCACCTTTAGGTTATATTTTAAGAAATTGGGACCAGTTTAAACCAGAGGATTTTAAAGGGTTGGTTTTTCTCCAAATGTAAGTTAAAGAGTGAAGAGACTCAAACTTGGTTTTATGATTAAGAGGGCTGGTGAGCAAACATCCACCTAGCCATCCTTCTCTCGCCCTCTTCTGACTCACCGATTCTGCCTAGAGGGTTAACTAAATAGAAAAAAGTCAGGGTAGTTTAGAGTATTAAAAAAATACTGCTGTGACTTCTATAATGGAGAACTAATTGCAATTCAGCATGGCCAATACAACTAAAAGTGCACTCTGATTTAATGTAATTAAACTGATTTATGTGTTCTAAATGTTTTCTTGTCTGTTCATCTGCCTGTTCATCTATTTTAATAAGTGGTTAAACTACTTACAGCTGCTTCATTTAAAAAAAAAATTTGAGTTCATATCAATTGCTTTTTTATTTTTTATTTATTTGTTTGTTTGTTTATTGCCCTTATAGACCTCTGGCTCTGTTAGGGATTTCCATTTTTAAAAAAAGTTATATAAACATTCCAGGGCAACCAAACTCAAAACATTAGAGGGTAAAAAGCTACCAGGTTCAAGACGTACGTAAAACTTGCAAATAGCGAGATGTGGTGGCACAGCATGTAATCCCAGCGCCCTGGGGGCTGAGACAGGAGAATCACTGCCAAGTTCCAGGCCAGCCTCAGCTACATAGTGAGTTCAAAGTCAGGTGAACTGCATAGCTAGACCCTGTCTCAAAAAAAAAAAGAGACTTTCAAATAAAAATAAAATTTGGTAACATGAAGGTTGTGTATGACTTAGGTTAATACACGTTTCTGTTTCTGTGTGTTCACTTTCAGGTATGTGTTATCCTCTAAAAGTTCTACTGAAATTGGCTTATAGATAAATAGACACTCACATTGGCCCCAAAGCTTTGTGTTCACGTGCCTTAATAGTGGGATAATTTAAACTGACTGGCAAGATAAGAATAAAGGTGCCGGCCAGGCGTGGTGGTGCACACCCATAATCCCAGCACTCAGGAGGCTGAGGCAGGAGGATCATAGCTAGTTCGAGACCAGCCTGGGCTACAAAGTGAGCTCAAGGCCAGGCTGAAGGGCAGAGTGAGACCCTGTCTCAAAAAGACAAAAAGCAAAAACAAAAACAACAGCAACAAAAAGATGTCTTTAAAGTTGGTAATATATTTTCATCCAGTTTGTTTCCCTTTCAAATATTGGTTTTGTACCTGAAAGAGTTAATTTAAACTAGGAGGCATGATAGACGCTGTGAAATGGTAGGAAAACACTCAAGGGTAAAGGG